GCCAGGGACTTCCTCATTTCCGGTGCAAACCATGTCCCCTGCGGAGAACAAGTTTTAAAACCAATGAGTTACAACAAGTGCAGTTTTCCATTGTAAAGATATGGTACAGTCAATGCAAAAATAGAGTCCAGAGTGAAAACCCTCCAATTGTCCCCTCCATATGAGAGTAAGAACTCAACTTTTCATGGGCAAACAGCATTTCTGATCAAGTATTGAGAATGATGGATGACACCTAGAAAGATGGCCACCGAGAGGTTGGCGCAGGGCTAGAGCTCTAAGGTTGCACCTGAGGCAATTTTTGGTGTTGTTTAGTCATTTAGTCGTGTCCGACTCTTCGTGACCCCATGGACCACAGCATGCCAGGCACTCCTGTCTTCCACTGCCTCCCGCAGTTTAGTCAAACTCATGCTGGTAGCTTTGAGAACACTATCCATCCATCTCGTCCTCTGTCGTCCCCTTCTCCTTGTGCCCTCCATCTTTCCCAACATCAGGGTCTTTTCCAGGGAGCCTTCTCTTCTCATGAGGTGGCCAAAGTATTGGAGCCTCAGCTTCAGGATCTGTCCTTCCAGTGAACACTCAGGGCTGATTTCCTTAAGAATGGATAGGTTTGATCTTCTTGCAGTCCATGGGACTCTCAAGAGTCTCCTCCAGCACCAACTTGCACCTGAGGCAAGTTACTTATAACCAATTTTTAGTGTCCATTTTAATTTTTTTGTTTTACTGTATTAAATTCTCTTAGTGTTCTGGTTTATTGTTTTAATTTATTGTTTTATGTCCTTGTATGATATTACACTCCCTTAAAATTGTGATCTGCATGAAGAAGGGTTGGGCTGAGTACTAAACGCCAAACACAAGATCGTTTATGAGCTACAAACTACAAACAACTCATTTCTCATAATCGCTAATCTTCTATTGGAAGGAACAGGAAGGGTCTGCTGAAGCCTTTTGCCACCTCTTCAGTGGGGAGGAGTCATTCCTCTCACCAAACCGACCTTGCCTTTTGTTGATGATAGTTGGGTTACCTTGTTCTCTCTTGAATACTTGCCTTTGCTTTATCTTGTGCCTTTCTGAGTGTGTATTTTGTCCATTGCTGTTTTATTTACCACTCTTCCTCCTCTCCCCCTTTGATGTTGCTACAAATTTTGGTTTTATTAAGTGTATTTTATTTTTAAACTTTTTCTAAATCTTTTTTTTTTTTTTAAAGTTGCAGCCCGTCAATAGCTGGGAGATTATGAATGCTAGTTTGGACACAGAGGAATTGAGAATTATTATCTGTTTTTTTTTCCACAATTCATGAGAGAGTTCCAGTACCTAGGTGATAAATCAAGCTAGCTCTTGCTGAAAAGCTGTTATTCTGAATCAGATTGAAGCAGTGGGATGCAAGAGCGTTAATAAGCGTCAGACGCAGAAGTTTTATTGAAACATTCTAATTATGCCCCGAAGCAGAGATCCAGTGCAGCCAAATTTTATCAAGATGAATTTCATAGTGCCTTGTAATGACATTTCTTGTGTATGTGTGTGTGTGTGTGTGTGTGTGTGTGTGTGTGGAGTTCTAATTTGTGTGTGAACTGAAGACCCAGAAATTTCAGATCTTAAGTTCCTATGTTGAGTAATTCCAAGGCCCACCATGGAAATGGCATTGCTGGGGGCCTTTAACACGGGAGAAAGGAACCTCTATCTAGTGAATGGAAAATTAGTCAGTGGCATAGAAGCTGCATCTGTGGCTGTCTGGGAGATTAATGTGCAGCAGAGGATGCTTAATGACTAATTATGGGCTAAGCAAAAAAAATATTTGCCATTTCTCTCTCCCTCATCCCCGTCAGTTTTCCAGTTTCATCTGACTTGGTGAACGCTGCAGGTAATAGATTACTGTTTTTGATGCATATGATTGATCCTTGTTGTACATTGTCACTTCTCTTTTCTACTCACTAACTTTGTCCCAGGACTGACATCTACGTTGGCCTCACTGACTTCTCCCAAGCACCAGCTTTGGGAGATGGTGATGTATAGTTCATCAAACCATTGTATTCCTACCACCTTCCCCAATGAAGATCTGACATATCTGTTGGCTGGCGTCATTGGTGACTAGTGCCCATCGGGATTGGTGGGGTGGAACAGTAGGTGAAGCCAGAGCCAGAGGAATGGCAGAGCCAACTGACCCCCCCATCTTTTAAGTGCCATGAGTAGGACTTGCTCCTTTCAAAAATATTGTTGAGTGAGCCTTTCAGTTTTTGGGTATTGGTGTTTTTATCTGGGTATCTGATCTTTTAGTTTACTATGTAAATCACTTTGAGGCACATGTGTGCAAAAATGTGACGACGACAACAACAACAACAACATTGTTGTCATCCTCCTCCCTGCTGAATGCTGTAAGTGGAAGATTGAGACTAAAGAGGAGGAGGAAGCAGACTGATTTTAAGTAAGTAGGCAGGAAGATGGGGCTGTCTGAAGGCAGACTGAGTTTGATGGGGCAGTGCCCCATTAATCCTGATATCAGGGACTGGCTTGATGATGAGGAATGGTGGGAGGCTCCAGCCAGAACCCCCCAGGGAAGCCTCAGAAAAGGAAGACTTGGAGTCAGGGGAGTGGTGGTGGGACACAGAAGACAGGTCAGAGGATGAAGTGGGGGCACAGAATGGTTGGATGCTGAACAAGCAACAGGCTTGAGTGAGAGAGAGGGAAAAAAGGCAGAAAGCACGGCAGATGCAGGACAGGCAGCTGAGGAGGAGGTGAGGATTGAGGCTGCTACAGATTCACAGGAGCCTGCCGGTCCTATTGTATTCAGCTCCCCTCCTCCCTTGTCTCCAAGGGCACAGAGAGCTTTGTACAGAGAGTGCTGTGGGAGCCCTCACCATTGGAGTTTAAGATGGTTGAGAAGACAAGCACCCGGAAAGGAGACTTAGGGGGGAGTGGGAGGCACAGATAGTCCGTTTTGGTAACTGCTTTACCATGAGCCAGTCTTGCCAATAGGTTTCTCTGTTTGTATTCTGTTTTATTGAATAAAGAATCAGCTTTACTGCTAATCTCTGTGTCTCCATGCTGACCTTCGACTGAACCAGCCCCGACACCTTGCAGACAAACCTTTACTGATTGGGCTGCAGACAAGACAGTGTCCCTTTCATTGGAGTGACAAGAAGAGCTTTTTAACCTGAGGAGGTGGAACTGGCTCCCACTTGGTCTCCTATCCAGGCAGCTAGTAGGGCCAGTCCCACTTAGCTTCAGCAGAGGGAGAGGGAGGACACCTGCTTTGAATACAGAAGGCCCAAGGTTCATTCTCGGCGTTGCCAGTTAAGAAAGTGTCAAGTAGCAGCAGGCGGGAAAGTCCTTTATCTGACTGTAAAGTGTTGTCTTGACCAGGGCTAGATATACAAACTGATGTTGTTTAAGGTGGCTTCCTACATTCAAGCAATGTGATCCTCACTGTCTATCCCTCTCCAGGATCACAGCTCAGTGGCACAGCACTTGCTTAGCAAGCAGCAAGTCCCAGGTTCCTGGTATCTGGTTCCTGGTATCTCCAGCTAAAAGGGTCAGGTGATAGGAAACACCTCTCTCCACCTGAAACCCTAGAGAGCAACATAAGAGTCAGAGTGCATAGTACTGTGTGGGTGGATAAATGTTCTGACTCAGTATAAGGCAGATTCTTATGTTCCATGATGATGAACCTCTGGGTCATTCTGTTCTGGGTCAATAAAGAGAGCTGTCCTGTAGTTGCTAATCCATCTGTAAGTGGTTTGATCTCCCTGATAGCTTTTTCTTCCCACTCCAGTTATGGTGTTCTCCCATAGGAAGTGGGGGCTGAGTTGCTGCTAAAGCTGGGCTGAATATACTCTCCTCCCTCCCCATTCCGTAGGTCCATTTGTCTCCTCAAAAAGTTAGGGGAGGCTAATTGATTCAAAAAGCTAATTTTGCCAGTGGGCTTCCTCTTCAAAGACAAGGTGGCTGAGGCCTTCTCCTTTTTGCTTTTGCACATGAAAACAGCTTTGCCACCTGTCAGAAGCTCCTGAGTTCCATCATGGTCCCAATGGAGCTTTCTATTCCAGATTTCAGAGGAACCCTGCTGAGCTTCTGTGGACAGCCAAGCCGTGGCTTTAAGCAGTGGTACGGATGGGTGAATCTGTCAATTTTTCAGTTCCTCTCAGTTTCCCATTTTCCCAATCAAGTTCAGTTCTCCACATCACCTGCCACAGTTTGCTTTTTTTTTTTTGGTCAATCCCTTCCCATGAAAAATTATCAGCATGGGTGAAATATTCCTGTATTGCAGGGGATTGGACTAAATGATCTATGTGGCCCCTTACAACTCTGTAATTTTATGCTTCTTGGTGATTCTATGATTCTCCTCATTTGCACACATATTTGTATGCCTGCAATTTGTATGCCTAATATCCACATTAAGGCAAGTTTTCCCTAGTTAACTTTTCCCCTGATAGAATGCATCTTGTATGTTCTTCTCACTAATAAAGGCATTTATATGCACATTTTACCCTATGCATTTTTGTATACATCACTTGGCTGGAGAACTGCATTGCAAAATTCAGAGAAGTGTGAATTTCACAGGGGTGGCTGCTCTCCAGTTCTCATATAGTTTTGAAAAGTGTGAATCAGGTAGATTCACCGTTAAATGTGAAATGAATCACATTTCCTAGTCAGGGGTAATGTGGTTGTTGTTGCGGTAACAACAACAGCAACAATGGGACAGTCATTGAAGGGAAATCATCCCCACCACCACCTGGAAATTTTCAAATTTGCTCACAGCCGCTGGGAGAGTAATCCAGTCTTCTCTGAGCCTTTTCGCTCTTCCACCTGAAACTGCTGAAAAAGTCCAGGTTTAGACTGAATGCACGGAGCGAGGAGCAGGATCGGGCCCAATACCCTTTCCCCAGTCCCCCATGAACATAGGAGGCTACCTTATCACAACATTGGTCCATCTTCCTCTGTATTGTCTACACTCACTGGTAGCAAGTTTCCAGGGCTTCAGACAGGGGACAATTCCCAGCCCCATCTGGAGATACTAGGGATTGAACCTGGGACTGTCTGCTTGCAAGGCAGATGCTCTACCACTCATCTCCAACCCCCCCCAAAAGTAAGATCCTAGTCCTCATGATTCTAAATGAAGAACAGTATGATGGGAACAAAGGAAGCTGCCCTGAAGTGAGCCAGACCATTGGTGCATGTAGATAAGTATTGACTGACAGTGACTCAGACAGGGAGTCCCAGCCCTACCTGAAGATGCTGGGGATTGAACCAGAGAACGTCTGTACGCAGGACAGTTGCTCTGCCCCTGAGCTACAGCCCTTGCAGAAAACTAGCACGGAACTGCTTGGCAGGATGAGACAGCCCTGCAGACAGATATCGGCCAGCAGATCAGTACTTGCAAACCACAGCTTTTAGTCACATTGTTGTGGTGTGTGTCAGGTGTAGCTTTGCACGGTGTTCCTTTGCTCCTGGCAAAGCATCCCCTCCCAGGAGGCTGTGGCAGCTGCTGCCTTTTCAGCTGACTGCAGGTTTGTGTTCCAGGGGTGGTTACGTAAGAGCTGTTCTTCCCAGCATAACACCTGAGTGTCGGATCACAGAAGCCTGCACGTCTCAGACCACGCTGTGCAGCTGTAATCGGAAGTCCGTCACTCCAAATGATTGGTCTTGCATGGGGTCATTGGGCACCCTTGTTAATTTTTACCCTTTGATACTTTGCAATTTAAGCTTTCTTTCCCTTATTCTTTGCTGAGCTGCTGCTTGGGGCAAGATTTATCTCTGTTCTCTGAACCAGCTCATTTTATCCCCCTACTAACTATCTCCTTGCCATAGCCTTGCTTTCTCTTCTCTCTGTGGGACTCATAAGGTAGCCCCCAGCATTTTAAACATTAGTTGGCCCAATAAATGGGATGCCTCATTTGTTTTCGGTTTTCCATCGCAGAAGAGTAGGGCTATGTATAAAAATATAATTGCCACACACTAGGAATGGAGGAAACTGTCAGTTTTGGTTTCCCTCAGTTTCCTCATTTTTCCATCCTTAAATCCACTTCTACACATTTCCACATAACTTTGCAATTTTTTAAAAAGAAAAAGTGCTTATGAGACTTCATTAGTATTTCATCTACTGTATGCATTTTCTATGCAATTTTGCCTATTACATGCATTTCTGAAAGGCAATTTTCCCTAATGCAATTTGTATGTTATTTTTACTAATATATTCATTTTAATTCATATTTCCCCCTATTGTACCTGTATTTGTACATTAAAGGTAACGGTAAAGGGACCCCTGACCATTAGGTCCAGTCATGGCTGACTCTGGGGTTGCGGCGCTCATCTCGCTTTATTGGCCGAGGGAGCCGGCGTACAGCTTCCGGGTCATGTGGCCAGCATGACTAAGCCACTTCTGGCAAACCAGAGCAGTGCATGGAAACACTGTTTACCTTCCCGCCTGAGTGGTACCTATTTATCTACTTGCACTTTGACGTGCTTTTGAACTGCTAGGTTGGCAGGAGCAGGGACTGAGCAACGGGAGCTCACCCCGTTGCGGAGATTCGAACCACCAACCTTCTGATCGGCAAGTCCTAGGCTCTGTGGTTTAACCCATAGCGCCACCCGCGTCCCTTTGTAGGCAATTACCTGACTGGAAAACTGCATTGCAAAATTGGAAGGATCGCTGTGTTTTGGTTCACATATTGTTTTTTGAAAGTGTGAATTAAGTAGGATTGCCTTTAAAAGTGGTATGAATTAAATTTCTTCCCGATCCCTGCCAAACACCAAGGATCTATTTGGAGACACCATGCCTTCAAATGATTTCAGAGTTGGAGAGAGAGTCCAGCTGGAACAGAATGAGTCTTCCAGTTCCGGGGTATGATTCCAAGAGTACCTTCCATGTGGCCTGTCTCCTTCTGCTCCTGATTCGTGTTGGGTTCAAGATGGACTTCTCTTCTAACAACAAAGTTTCATCCAATTCCAGCTCTGGGAGCTGTCAAATCCTTTGCAGAAGAAAGTGGCAAACGCCATTTGGGAAGAAGTTAGCAACCGACCAGGGATTCACATCATAAAGCCCTTTCTTTGGAAAGAGTTCTGTTTTTGGTGCCCGAAGGGATACAGTCTGGAGACTCTACTCTGCCATTATGCAATTCAAGACAAAGCTCCAGAATTTTTTTTCTGCTGGCCTTTGCAGACTTCACAAGGCTTTGCAGTAGCTGAGGATGCTAATTTTAGAATCACGTGGCTGAGGGTTTGTGACAGTTTCCCCCCCCCCGCCATGCCTGCCCCATGTGCTGCTGTGTGTAGCCAGACAAATGGAATAAGGGGGGGGGAGGATGCAGGAGCTTGCAAATGGAGAGCGGTACATTTGTTTACGCTCCGTCTCCTGAAGACCGAAAAAATAGAATCCTGTGCCCAAGTAGCCGTGTTGATGATTAAAAAACCAAGTTACAAAGACAATTCTATTCTCTCATTCTTCTCTGAAAACCTATTATTCTCCGATTTGAATAATGTGTGCATAGATGCCTCCTTAGCCTGTATTTGGTTCTTTCGTATAACTTATGGTGCTGGCCAGGAGGAATGCGAGACTTGTAGAGAACCCTGTCCCCTAACTACTGTTGAATCTGCGGCTGACTTCTTTGATTTCCACTGCCACTGCCTGTGTGTTTTTGAGTAGTGAGGTCCAGAAACACATTTAGCTTCACAGATCTTGCAGTAATAAGGGATATTAATTCACCAGCCGTCTTTACATTTATCTTGCTTTTCAGTGGCTGGGGCAACCCAGCCAGATGGGTGGAGTATCATCATCATCATAGCTCAATGTGGGACATAAAGTTCTCCCCAACTTCATTTTATCCTTGCAACAGTGGTAGATTAGGCTGAGAGATCATGGTGATTGGCCCCAGGTCACACAGTGAGTTTCATTGGCTGAGGGTGTCTTCCCACCTCCAATCCTTGCCTGACATTCTGAACACTATACCAAGCGACCGGATTTTGAACACTAGAGTAGAATTTTAGAAGGACTGTCTCTCAGCGATGGAGGACCAGCTTTGCACAAGGAAGGTCTCAGGTCCAATGATTGGCATCTCTAGGTAGGGCTGAGAGAAACTCCCTGGAAAGCTACTGCTGGTCCGTGTAGACCAGTGTTTCCCAAACTTGGGTCTCCAGCTGTTTTTGGAGTGCAATTCCCATCATCCCTGACCACTGGTCTTGCTAGCTTGGGATGATGGGAGTTGTAGTCCAAAAACAGCTGGAGACCCAAGTTTGGGAAACACTGGTGTATACAGATCTGAGGTAGATGGATTGATGGCTTTAGGCAGCTTAGATAAACAGGAGTGAGCATTGGAGATGAGACTAGGAGACAGGGATATTTCTCTACCCCTCCCTGTAAGAATTATAGTGATATTTCTTAGCTGAATACTCTGGGAGGTGAATGGCAGGGAGCACATGAAGGGTGCAAGGCACTTGCTCCCAGAAACCCCTGTTCATCCCTGCCTGTTGGATATGTAGAGAATCAAACTCTGTATTTTGCTGAACACCAGGGACTTGCCACGGGACCGTCGGCACCAAGGTCAGCTCTCAGGTACAAAGGTGTGACTTCTAGGCTAGTTACAGATTCATGCTGGCATAAGCTGGCTCTTGAATTTAATTCTTTGCAATGCAGGAGAGAATATGAAACAGGCCAATTTTTCCCTGTACCGTCTCCCTCGGACAAGGTAGGAGAAAAGTTGTGGGATGCTACAGGGAGGCAAATGGTTGGGTGCCCAGGAGCTCCCCTCATTGTTTTTGCCTTAAAAATAAAATGAATGACTCCCCCGCCCCCGCCGCTGACTTTTATACATGATTATGACATAACTGGATTAAAAACAAAACAAAGCAAAAAACCAGACAGGTTTGTCTTTGACTGTGTGGCATTTGAGAAGGTTTCATCTCCTCTCTGGCAGGAATTGTTATATAAAAGCTGTCTTTAAGAAACAGAACTCTGCCAGAAGAAACCCCTCATTATAGGCTAGCTGCCATGTGTGAGATGCGCACGTCTTTGATAAAAAACTGTTTCCTAGAGAACTGCATTTAAAAAAAAAAATATTGCACAAACCTGATCAAGCTACTTCTAACTGTGAGTCCTCTTTGTACTGTTCTTTTTACACCCTACCCCCTCCCTCATTTTGATAACTGCCCCTTGGGGACATTCACTTACGTTGAAAATACAGGATATAAATTATGTAAGCAAACAAATATATCTTTAAGCAAATTTTATTCCACCCTTCAGCACAAAGGCCCACGGGGTGGCAAACAAATCAAACAGCTCTCCTCCACTGCTTTTTATAATCACAAGAGACCTGTGACATAGGTTAGCTGAGAGACAGAAAGTGACTGGTACATGCACTTCATGACTGGGTTGGGATTTGAATCTGGACCCCCCAAGCCTTAGGACTTAACCAAACTTATATTTTGCCTTGCTCTTTCCAGGCACAGGTTTGCTCTTAAAAGCTTTGTATCCGAGCAGGGGTGGGGTTTTTTTTTTGGGGGGGAGGGGGTCCATAGATTGCTGTTTGTTCCAAATATGCATTAAAGAACAGGGTTTTATTTTTAAAGGAAAGCTCCAGTTGGGCATTGTTGAGATACTTGGGAGTTATTGCATAAACCATTGGTCCATTTAGCTACATTGGGAAGTGTTGTAGCTTAGTGGCAGTGCATCTGCTTTGCATGCAGAAATTCCCAGGTTCATCATGTGGGAATTTGCAGTCAAAATAACAAATGCATGTTTGCTTAATAAGGAGATGAAGGGGTTAAGACTCAGAGTTTCTGATTGCTAGAGAGGGCAGTGTGTGATGTCACTTCCCTTGAATTCTCTGGCAGGAAAAAGACAAAGACAAAAGGATTTAACCGTTTCTATTTGCCCTTGCCTCAGATATGAGCCTCTCTTGCTTCTGAGGCAGACAGATGTCTGCCTGGTCTCTGCTTTAAGCAGAGACTTCATTTTGAACCCAGCTATGCAATTTGCAATCTAGAAGTAGAATTTACCTGTCTTGTTTTCATTACTGATACTGCTGGAATCAAGTGCAGAAGTAGAATTTACCTGTCTTGTTTTCATTACTGATACTGCTGGAAT